AAAATATTTTTTTTATTTATATATATATATATATATATATATATATATATATATATATATATATATATATATATATATATATATTAGGTTTGTCAAGAAATAAGGATGAAAAATATGTAGTAGAATTTTACATTTAATATTTATTGATCTAACTGTGTTGTTCCACCATCACAAATATCAGTCTTTATACAAAGAAACCTAGATATTATGGTCCAACATTATGAACATACAAGAGCAAAGGTTGTGATCCAGGTGGGCCCACATCGAAGAATAAGAATCTTCATAAAATTCAAAAACGTATTTATCAAAGATAAAGCTTTGTGGAAATCCTCAGATGGAGGTGTGATCCACCAGGTGGGGCCACATCAAAGAATTAGCATATAGTAGTGGGAACTAGCCGAACATGTGCATAGGGAGGAGCCAATTGGTTCGTGGGGCCCTCCCGAAGAGACAGGAGGCTGATTCGAAGGGGACGAGAACAACTTCGTATGGACCTCAACTTGTGGGACCCACCGTGCAGGGAGAAGGGCCATGTCACCACATGGACGTGTGACCCATCGGTGGGCTCCAGATTCCCACCACTCATGCATGGTGCGAAGATAAAGAAAAGCTTCTTTATTTGACCCACAAACCTCTCCCTCTCCCTTCCTTCTTGGAAGGATGACACGAGCCAACCCTAATCACAAATCAAGATGTATATATATATATATATATACTTCACATACCTCAACACAAGTATACATCATGTTTCTTTTGTGCTGCGCTCCATACATCGCATGTGCTTCACAAACCTCTCCACCAAGAGTTCTTCCAATCAACAGTTCATTCCCAAACCAGACACGAAAGAGGGAAAGCATGGAGGGATAAAGAGAGATGATAGTCTCAGTATGTCCAACGCAAACATTCGCGTTTCAGTCTAAGCTTTCACTTTAACTCATCACTAATGTATGAGCTTCTTTTCTTCTAAAGATTTCTCTCTCTAAAGAACCATAATTAGATTCGGTTGCTATTTCTATAACATGATTTCTCAGATTTCAATATGATAAATCTATTAAAAATGATCATGAGAATTGGATTCACTAACAGATCACACACACACACACACAGAGTCGTATAGATTAAACAAGCATTTAGATGACATAATTCAACCCAGAGCAGCTGAAAGGTAACTCACAATCCCCAGGAAAAAAAGAGAGGTTGTGGGTTTCTGAAGTACGTTAACATGGAGCTGGATGTGTGATGGGATTAAGGAAGAGACCAGGCTTCGGTGCTGCATCACTGCCAGCTTCGGAGCCATTAATCCTCTGGCAGGACGGGCACAGCGCGAGGGTGGCCGCCGGGATCTGCATGTACAGCGGCGACGGCGCTGAGAATCTGAGAGACTTCATCTCCTGCAACTCCTTCCGTAGCCTCTGGTTCTCCGCGGTCAGCTTCTCGTAGCACCTCCTGAGGATCTCGCAATCCACCTCCGTCTGCTTGAGCTTCGTCCTATAACCAAAACATGGATAGAGGAGATGGATACAATGAGAGAGCAATAGATCTGTGCAAGGAGCTACGATCGCTGCGCTCACACCTTGCTCTCCTGTTCTGGAACCATACTTCCACTTGCCGCGGCCGGAGATTTAGCTGCTTGGCCAAGGCTTGTTTTTGTTTCTGATCAGGACAAAGATAAGAGATGGAAGCTAACAGAGGAAAGCATGAACTGTCCATGTAATAACGTCGAACACTTACAGGATTAAGGGAGGTGTGCTCCTTGAACCTGTTCTCCAACATGGCGGACTGCTCCTTCGTGAGCCTAAGTTTCTTCCTGACACATCCGTTGTCCTCCTCGTCCTCCTCCGCTTCGTCGCTTCCGACATCCTTCTCCCTCAAAACGATCGTCGCATGCGGAGAGGAGAAGGACGAAACCGCGCTACGAGAAGACGACGCCGGCGCCGGCCGAGACTCCTCTTTTGCTTTGGCAGTTTCAGCGTAGGCATCGGTGGAGAGGCTTAAGGCGAGGGATGGCTGGTCGGAGGCCAAGTTCGTGAGAGGCGAGCACGGCTCTCGTGGCCGGAGATGTTCGGCCGATGTTGTTGTCGTCGGACCGACGCCCAGCCCGAGGGAGAGGGCAGTCTCACGGATGTCTTGTGAGTTGTTTATGTCCATGTCTAGCTCCGCTCAGATCTCTGCCTCTTCCGCTACTGGTTCTTGTTTATATTGCTTGAGAGAGAGAGAGAGAGAGAGAGAGAGAGATGGTGACGATGGCTGTCAGCAAAAGGAAAGAAAAGAAAGAGGAAAAATGGAATGGAAATAGAACCGAGTGTGGATTATTAGGAAAAACGTTTGGCATGGGAGTCTATCTGAAAAAAGAATAATTGTGGACAAATGTGACAATTCAACTCCTAGCTATAGAAATTTTAGGCAGGTCACACTTGTCTGGGTGTGACCTTATTTTTATTTAATATTATTAATAAAAATATTCATATGTAAAAGAAATATGTCAAAAAGGATTGGAAAAAAAGTTTCATATCATTAAAAATTAAAAGAATCGAAGGACATATATTAAGTTTGATATATGACACAACAATTTAAAATGATGAGTGCCAAAATTGTTGTAGGCCAAATGATAGTTTACTTATCCTTACGTGAGTATAAAGAAGAGATACTAGCAAAATATTCATTAGACTTGACTCAGATAATATATTAAAACATTATTTGATTTATCCTTCCAATTAAAGGAAAAAAAATGATCAAACCCATATATATATATATATATGAATTATGTTTGGTGGGATGAATTCTGTACTCTTTATCATTGAAGTGATATCACAAAGTCGTCGACCAATGATGCCATGATTAAAACCCCCAAGTATTAGTTGTTGTGTAGCCCTCCATAAAGGCCACACATGAGCTGTTGCCTCGCTGCAAGGAGTAATTGCAAGCTGCAACCTCACACTGTGGTAGAGATATGGGGCTCATGTAGCTGTGCTCCCTCCCTTTGTCTGGTCTTTCTTTGGCTTGTGGCGGTGGAGAGCAGGGAAGGACCGATAGAATTAACATCCCAAGTTTAATTTCCTCTAAATATATATAGCAAAGGAGTTATGCACCCCGACCTCCCTATCTCTCTTGCATGCATAAGAGAGAGAAGAAAATATTTTACTAGCCGTAAATGGGTAGAAACTTTTTGTATTTCTTGAATCATTTTGATCTCTTAAATCCATGAGCATTAAAAGGGTCTTGCTAATTACACTCCGTCATTTTCTTGTAGTGCTAACTGTAGCTGAAACATCTGTCATGGAACTATGATCGATTGTTGATACACAATGGATTCCTCAGCCAAGTAGTGATCGAACTGATAAGCTTCCTATCATTCTCTCCTTCCACTAAAACATTGGGAAGATGCATATTTGAGTCAATTAATTACCAGATAGATAGATGTATAATCTTAAGTCAGTCACCGAAACATACCAAGATAGATAATGCAACTTCGATGCCACCGGACAAATCGATGGCCAAACGCATGATTAGAGCCACAAACAATGAGGAAGTGCTCAGAAACTAAACCTAATCACATCGGATTATGACAAAAACTAGTGGAAGCTTTTCGGACGTCATCCCGTCCCTCAAACCAAGTTGACGAGGGGGCAAAGCTGGCGCCGAAAGCGCGACGTGTCGTGACATGTCAGCACGGTCCCGCCAATGATTTTTTGCTGTCATATGAAGTGGTAGGCGCAATCATGGAGCTCGTATGAGGTGATCCCAAGAAAAACGATGGGAGGATAAGAGGAGTTTGGATTGGAGAGCACAACAAGCACATGAAGTTTCTGTGTCTGTTCTCGCCCACTTTTTCTCTTGCAGACGTATAGTCTGCAAACTACAATGAGTGCCCCCACTTTGTTTCTTGTCTTTCTACTGGAAAGTGAATGCCCAAAGAGTGTCGATAAGTGCTTCTCGGTTGCGTCACGAATACTATTCTTTGAATCAGGAAGAGATATTAAAAGATATATGAGTGAAAAATGGACTTAGTGGTCTTAAATTTTAATTTTAATTTAATTAAATTAATTTTTTAGCATTAGAGTATTAGGTTGATGATTTATGATTAGTCTTAACCCAAAACATAGCAACCAAAGATAATAATCTTGACATAGTTTCAATTTTGATTTGAATCCTTAAAATTTCAAGGTGAGTGGTATATCTGATGTGCCATAAAAAAATATTATCGTATAATTTTTTTTTTTTTAGAAAAATAGGCTTAACTTCATTTTGACTTGAATTGATGGCAAAGTACATATATGAGAGCTAATCCATAATATAATTGATATCTTATTACCATATATGGTGGTGGTCATGGACTAGTTCTATTTTGACTTTGACTTGAATTCTCAAAATTTTCAGCTATAAGAATACGATAATATAAAAATAAAAAAAATTTATTTTTATTTTGAATTGACTTTCTAACATTTATAAAAAGGAATTCGAGTCTTGTGGACAAGAATAGAATGATGTGAGTTGAGTCTGCAGAATAAGATACCAGCAACTTTCGAATTATATTGACAGCATTGATTACGGCTTAGATGTTTGCCAATTGCTACAAGTGATTGGAATACATTGGTTGGTTGTGCCTACAAGTTATATCCGGTGAACTTATGCTTTTTGTTGTTGTTATTAATGTTAAAGTAAGATATGGTTATTCCATACGTTAAGATTTGAAGTTAACTTTTGTTTGAGTCTGAGTCTGAATTTATCATAAGCTTGGTGTTGGGAGATAAAGTGGGCACAACTAAAAACTTATCCTAGTGACATACTTGACATGTCTGATGTGAGTAATTTGAAAGAAGAGTGATTTAGCCTAATTCTTAAGACAACATGGTTTAGCCTTCGAATGAAGCAATCTAAGCTAAACCATAATATTTAAGGTTAATGAGACGTTTTAGTAAAACATTATATTTCGGCATGTTATCCATTTGCCACATCCTCTTATAAGTTAAAAGAAAATTAAGGTATAATCCCACAAGCAATACTTAGTTCCAACTCTCACGTAACCATATTTATTTGAATAACACATCAATCAATAATACATCTTTTAGTATCATAAAATATCACGATCATTTCTCATCTCCATCAACAAAAACTCAGTATTTTTTTATGGGCTATTTTGTATAACATGTTTTCCACTATAAACTCAACATCCTTAGGGCTAACTATAAATTATCCATTATAGTTAGTTGTCTTTAGCGTCTCAATTTATATACTTTAAAAAGTTACATTAATATCTTTACAGTTATAAAATAAAATAATTAAAGGATTTAAATAAAAGGTGGAAAGATAAGTGAGAAAAAAAAATAAAAAATAGAAATAATCACTTACTTTTTAAAAAATAAGATTGATAAACTTATTTATTTCATATATGATCCAATTAGAAACTAATGGTAGGAATCTCAACGAAAACATCTTGACTATGCTTATGATTAAATTAAGTGTTATTACATAGGTCGTTGACTAATGATTTAGCTTGGCTTGGTACCACGTAGAAAGTGTAGGTCTTTCCTAGAGAGCCAACGAGAAGAATTGTTATAGAAAACTAGCATAAGGCATGAGCGTAGAGAGCCGTCATGGAGAGTCGGGGAGTTGGCATGAGGATCCAACATAGAAAGCTAGCATGGAGAGCTTCCTACCTATGGAGGGAGCGAATTGATTTGGGAAGACAAACCACCTTGTCTGTGAGAAGTCATTTCGTAACTCCTTAACCGAGCCGTGGATCCTACACGATTAGTTTGCATCGGGGGAGGTCTGAACGTGACCCTTCCGATGTTTAAGTTAGAAGGTTAGAGAAGGAGTGAGTTAGTTATATTCAAGAGAGTATAGTATTTTTCTACATGCCTACGTTTGGCTTGGGATTTAGTTTTTATACTTGGAAGCCTGACGACAAGGATGAGGATTGGTGAGGGCCCCCCTACCCTATTCGTTAGGTGCCATTTATGGAGGTGACTTACCAACTTACTGATGTGTCATCCCGAGGTCGACATTAGCACAGAGCCATTGGGATGTCATTCCTACTCGACTTCTTACTACTTTGAGTCAAGAAAAGAGTGGTCCCTTTTTTAGTCATCCGAAAAAGGAGAATGTGGGAAAGGTGAACCATGCCGTCGATAATTAATACGAGGGCATGACCTTTTCTTTGACCGTGATGTCAAAGAGGAATAACTCTTATTGGCTCTTATAGGAAAGTCAAGACAGGTAGGGTTCATGTGTTAATTCCCTGTCGATGGCTGCAAGGGTTTGATGGAGCTTTCCATACTTTTACTTTTAAGTCGCCTGCTCAGCTCAGGTGGTAGGATGAGTTAGAGGCGATGGAATTTCCCTATCTCTAAGAAAACAACAGCCATGCTCACCATCTAAATGTGTGTTGTATGTTTAGCTCAAAAGGAACATCAAGTAAAAAAAAGTGACAAAAGCATATTACCGTAAAGAGGGCAACATTTGGTTTAGCCTACCAGCGATGAATTCTTGGGTGGAAAGTAGGATTGATATTGGAAGAGAATATTGTAAATGATTTGAATGTGAAAGGTATTGTAAACAAGATAGTGGTGATATGATGGCCAATGATTGATCTTACCATTCTAACCAAATCATTTGTGTCTTGACTTTAGAGGATGTGATATGATGCTAATCGCTTATGTTCAAGTCGCGCCGAGAGACTCTAAAATATATTATTCTTCTCCTTCATCGTTACCATCAAATTTAGTTGGCCTTAGACTAATTATCACTGCATCATCAAATTTGATTGACCTTAGATTATGTAGTGGTAAACATGATTTTTTTGAGAAACTCATATCCAATTTGCCTAACTGTGTGGATCTTTAGCACATAGTTAGAACTAAGACGCAGCCATTGATTACGTCACGAGGGGAAGACACAGGTCTTCCCCTTTTAGTGTTGCTGGTTCAATCGGGCTAATTATAGATTATTTTTTTATAGTTAATTATCTTTAACATTTCATTCCTTACCGATTCAAAAAATATATTAGGATCTTTATACTTATAAAAATGAGATATTTAATCTTTTTTTTTTTTACTCTGTCGACTTTGTTGATGAAAATATCATAGAGTTTATCACTAAGTGCATACTGAGTTTATCTCACTTTGATTTATCACTAAGCACATATAATATTTTCGTCAGCAGAATCGACGGTATGAAGAGAAACGTGATTAAATGCTTAATTTTCATAAATATA